TGCAGCCTGTTCTGTCTTTTTCACTTAACAATTTATCCTAGAGATATTTTTATGTCAGCATATAGATATTTTTCTCATTTCTTTTTGTAGCTGAATGATACTCCATTGAGTATATATACTGCGTTATTGAAATACTGATGGATGCTTGGGTTGTTTCCAGTTTTGTTATAAACAAAGCCCCTGTAAATAGCCTCGTACATATATTGTTTCATATGGACTAAAGTGTAGCTGTAGGGGGTACTTTCACAGAAGCAAGGGCTTGGGAATCAAAAGGTAAATGCATGTATAACTCATGATATATTTCCAGATTCCCTATGGGCAGTTTTTTGTTCTACATTCATTAAGAATAATGGCCAGATTGGATTAGAAACCACTTTTTAAGTATCTTACACCTTTAAACACAAATGTTACATAAATATTCTCGCTGTAAAATATTCAGACAGGAACACAGAGCAGAACGTGAACATCCTCTTTATTTCCACACCCTTACTCCAAGGTAATCATTGTCAGTAGCCTGATGTAAAGCCTACAAGTATTTTTTCTATGTATTCACACAGGCACATTCATACCTATCATCTGGAGTTTATTTAGTTATTTATTTATTTATTTTATTATTTTTATTTTTTTAAAAGATGACCGGTAAGGGGATCTTAACTGTAAAATATTCAGACAGGAACACAGAGCAGAACATGAACATCCTCTTTATTTCCACACCCTTACTCCAAGGTAATCATTGTTAGTAGCCTGATGTAAAGCCTACAAGTATTTTTTCTATGTATTCACACAGGCACATTCATACCTATCATCTGGAGTTTATTTATTTATTTATTTATTTATTTTATTATTTTTATTTTTTTAAAAGATGACCGGTAAGGGGATCTTAACCCTTGACTTGGTGTTGTCAGCACCACGCTCACCCAGTGAGCCAACCGGCCATCCCCATATGGGATCCGAACCCGGGGCCTTGGTGTTCTCAGCACCGCACTCTCCCGAGTGAGCCAAGGGCCGGCCCTGGAGTTTATTTAAATATAAATTGAATTATACTGTATTATTCTACAAACTGTTTTTTATTTTTTCCCACTGAATTGTTTATCTTGGAGATCTTAATGGTGTATGTAATTTTAGCTCATTCATTTTAACAAGTTGCATAATGTTCCATAATATGGATATACCAACATTTATTTAATCACTCCCAGAATTCACATTTTATTGTGAATAAATTATAATGGTATTAAAATAGTATGACAAGATAACTAGATATTTAGAAGCATTACAGTACAAAATATTTACCAGATTTGGAAGCTCATGTAAACAAAAACATATCTATGTTTGTATTTTTCAAGGCAGGAGGTGGAAAGAGCATGCATGGGCCTTATATCCAGACAGACCCACATTACAATTCCAGTTCTGTCACCTACCAGCCATGTGACTTGAAATAGTTCATGTAACCTTTCTAAACCTGCTTTCTCATCTATGAAATGGGGATAATAAAGTCTATTTTGCATTTTGTTGTTATGGAGTAAAAAGCACACATGGAAAGTATTTAACAAACATTTAACACAATGCCTAGCACACAGTAGACTGCCCCTGGATGACTAGAGGCAGGGATGGGAGGATTCTTTTTACTGCGTACCCTTTGTACCTTTTGAATTTTGTACATATGAATATCTTGCCCACTCAAAAACTGACTGAATGTTTGCAGAGATATGCCGTTGTCTAAAGGTCAGGTTTCCCACGAAACAGATGTCTTCAAGAAATATACTGTGGAATGCTCTTGAGAACATTACTATGAGAAAATGAAGGAAGCAGAATTAAGTAAAGGGAGAAGTTGAACTGCAATGCACTTAGAGCAAATAGGTACTAATCACACAGGAAACACCAGAGCTGGAATGACCCTTCAGAATTCTTCCAAATTAAGGCAAAAAAGCTGGGCACTGAATCCCACACATCCACCAGTCACTGGAGGTAGGCAACCCCCTGAAAAGGGGTGTAACCTTGACTGGTGCAACTGCCTTTGGCAAGTGCAATTCCTGGGAAGAGACTCCTGAGTAAACGATCAGTTAACCCTCTCAGGAGCTAAAATGCCTGTCTTGAAGTGGGCTCTGGACTGTGCACCACAGCATATACTATACCAGTGGTTCTCAAATTTTTGCGTGTACTAGAATCCCCTGGAGGGCTTGATGGTCCCCACCCCCAGTTGGTGTATTCAGTAGGTGTAGCACAGGGGTGAGAATCTGCATTTCTAACAAGTTCCAAGTAATGCTACTGGTGGCCTAGGAATCACACTTTGAGAACCATTATATTATATCATACTGGGTTAAATCCAACAAAATTCAGTAATTTGTCAATGTTTCGTAGTTTATAACTTAGAGGTGCTAATACCTAAAATTCTTTGGTTAGACTGGTGTTCTTCATGAGCTCATCATATTGCCTTCTTTGTAACTCTAGCTCAGTAGTGTTAGTGGGCAGAGTTTCTCCATTTACAGGTGCCAGAAAACTTCCATCCATGTTTCTTCAGTGTGTGTGCCTCAATATATTTCTTTCATTTCTAAACAGAATATATAAATCAGTAAAGGGATTACCATTGTGTGTGATGAGAACCAGTTTTTTCCACCCTAACTCCATTTTCATCAAAATCTGAATCAGTAACATGAAGGCTGAGGGGTAAAGAGTGGTAGGTGAGAAAATGATTTTGCTGTTAAGGATGCTGACATTTATTGGATATTTATTATATCCAAAGAGGGCTAAGTACTTTCTTATACATTATAGAACTAATGCTCACTCAGAACCTGTAAAATAGGTACTGCTATTTTCAGTTTTATGAATGACAAAACAAGCTAATAATATTAAATACCTTGCCCAGATCACACAACTAGTAAGTGAAGGAGCCTGAATTCAAACTCAGATGTTCCCACAGACCACACTGTTTATCTAAGTGGCTTAAACATGTGTTAGTATTTTTTCCTTTAATTTGCCAACTGACAATTACAGGGTACTAGGTATTGTACCAAGCAAAGAATAATGACCTAAAAAAGGGTTCTGTACACTGAAGGAGACCATTACAATTAAGCATGGTGGTAGCAGTATACACTGAGTGTTGTAGGCATATGGAAGGGCACTTAATCCAAATCAGGATGTCAAGGAAAGGGGTTCTGAAAAACGTGATGTCTGTATTGACTCTTAAAGGATGATTAAAAGTTACCCAGGGAGAAGCTGAGATGGAGGACTGTTTCAAGAAAATGCAAAAGTATGTGCAAAAGCATGATGGAGTTTACTGTGTGGTACAGGGGAAGTGACAAAACATGACATGGGCGGGGGCAAGAAAATGTGGGGCCTATGTTTTGCTAAGGATTTGAATTTTGTCCTAAAATTGACGAAGTTAAAGGAAAATGTTAAGATTTGTATTTTAAGAAAGAGGAGAGGGTAAAACGAAGGAAGAAAAGAATAGACAGGGCATTAGTTAACAGCTTTTGCAGTAATGAGTAACAGCTTTGCCATGAGCCCATGGCAATGGAGGTGCACAAAAAAGCCAAAGTTGAGATATTCAGGAAGTAGATGGAATAGAGATCTGGTCAGATACTAACTAACCTTCCTTCAGTCCCTTCATAGTGACAAGTCTTTCTCATTAACAGTGATTATCGCTTACGGAACTAACTCCAAACTCTTCGACCTAGTTTTCAGGCTTCCACTAATCTGGGCACATTGCTCCATTCCTCCCCACCTCACCGGACCCTTCTTCACACTTGTCTAAACCTTTATTCATGTTTCCAAACTCTTATTTAGAAGCTCACCCTCTTCCTCTTCTCTAATTCAAGTTATTTTCCTTAAAGACTCGCTTTCCCGAGTTGCTTCCTCTCACGGGGGCTGAACCCAAGGATAAACTCCATGTCAGAAGATAAAAATTCAAACTCTAGGGCAGGTATTGCCCAGCTGGTGATACAGGTCTGAAATGCCGGCCTGGGAAAATCTCACAAGAACGAAATCTCCACGAAAGCACACACTTGATTTGTTCACCACCGACCCCAACACCTAGAACACTGCCTGGCACAGTAAGTGCTGGAATGAGTTAGAACCTCTAAGAACTTGGTTACCTACTGGCTGTGTGATCTCAGACAAAGGACTACGTTTGCCTAAGCCCCATTTGTGGACGAAATGGGGCCGGCTCTCCCCGGAAGCTCATATTGTCCAGACTGTAACGGAGATCAGGAGATGGAGGACGGTACGACGATGAGCCTTTTCAAATTATGGAAATAGGTCGTGGACGGAAAAACACTATCGCCGGAGAGCCTACTTTGTGCCAACTGCGTTCACATACATTCTTTAATTTTTGCAACAGCTTCCAGGGGAAGGCAATTCCACTTCAGAGCTTTTCTTCCTTTCCAATTGTGAGTTTCCCCCAAAATCTTAACCAAATGACGTAAGGGAAACAAAGCAAACTAAGGACCTTGCCGGAGTCCGCGCTGAGGCGACATCGGGAAGTCAGTCGGCCAGGACAGCAGCCGAGCATGAGGAACGTCCAACCTTAAAACCCAGCGCCCGCGTGATGCACAAAGTCCTGGCTAAGACGAAGATATCTTCAGAACCTTTGTAAAAATCCGCCAGGAAAAGCAGGTCCCCACAGTTTTTTGCTACCAAACAAATCTCAGAACCCGGAGAACCGTCAGTGAGAATGGGCGGGAAAGCCTCAGCCGCCTGAAATCGCTTCACTCCATTGGCTAATTGTGCTGTCGTTCCCGGCTGCCCGCCTCCTTTCCTCGCGGGCGATGTTTTCATTGGCTCTCGTCCACCCGGTGTCTGTTCTTATTGGGCCGTTCTTTTGTTCGTCAAACTCGGGCGCGCAGAGAAAGGCGGAGAGCGCGTCAGTGTTGGGGCCATAGGCTCCGCCTCCTCGTGCCGTGTGCAAAAACAAACAGCCGTTAGGGAGGAGGTGTCGAGGGGCGGGGTCTGGCTAAAAGGAGGCGCGCAATTGGGCAACCGCCGGGGTTCAAACCAGCAAGGCCAGCGCGCATTGGCCGTGGCAGCGCGAGGCGGGCCCGGGGCATTGTCCGGCTCCGGTGGCGGCGGCGGTCGGTGCTGCAAGAGCTGCGGCGGCGGCGCGGCGGCAGTGGGAGGGCGCGCGGCCGAGCGGAGGCAGAGTCGGCGCCGATACCATGGTGAGGGCGGCCGACGGGCTGGGGTTGGGGCCGAGCCGGAAAACCCGGAGGCGGCGCGGAGGCCCCGGTGGCACCGCTACCTGTGGAACAGGGAGTTCGCGGGCGCAGGGGCCGCGTCTGGAGAGCCCTTGTCGCCGCCGGAGGGCGCTAAGTCCGGGCCGCCGAGCCCGACGTGGGCGTCCGGCAGGAAAGGGCCCGTCCCGAGCAGTGCGTGTCGGTCCTGACCGTCGCCGGGGCCCAAGCCGGCCCGCCGAAGCGTGGACAGTGCCGGTCGCCACAGCGGTTCCCTCCGCACGAGCGGGGCACACGGGGCCGCCGTCCAAGTTAGGAGGCTCCGGCGATGTCTGGTTACGTAATCTCCCGGGCAATAAATTCGGGATTTTCTGCGAAAAGGGGCTTGTATTCGTGCCTTTTTGAGCTAGAAGGAATCAACCGCACGATTTGTTCTAGGTGACTGCGTAGGTTTGAGATGAACGCCCGCTGTCTTGACTCCTTTGCAGTTTGCTTTTTTGATTTTAAAACAGTACCTCCCTTTGCCCCTGCTACGGATTTTCAGTCTTAAATTATGTTTCTTTATTCCAAAATTCAGATTTAGGTAAGAAAAATGTGGCTCTTAAAAAACAAAAGTGAATAAAACTTCAGCCCCATTTTAAAGTTGAGAGAAAGGAGAAAGTGTTAAAGGATAAGCTATGCATTGCATCAAAGATTGTGTGAAGTAATGATACTGTTACGGAATTTTATTTATGTCGGTATTCCTGCTTTAAGCATCCTGTCGTGAGACAGGTAACTCCAGCTGGAGCAGGCTGCGTAAAAGTTCGGTTATTCTTCATAACCGCAGATAGTATTAGATAATTTGTCCTGTGCTTGATGTAACAAGTGTGGCGTTTAAGAGACATGGTACCTAACTGTAAAATTCTCAAATCTTAGTGTTGGAGTAGACCTTACGAAAAATTACGTTTGATCTAAGTACTTAACTATAAAGCACTTGAACAAACTGAGGCATGCATTACATCTAATCTGTAAGTTAATTTGCTCAGGCTGCTGATTTTCATGATCCTTGCTTTGGATTTAAGATGTTTTGCCGTCTTTAGTGATATGCCATATATTTGGTGTCCATTTACCAGTAGCTAAAAATATATAAGCGTTACCATAAGCTAAAAATATAGAAGGCGTTCAGTTGTCATTCTTAATTTTAAGATTTTAAGCTTGAGGGGAAGTGAGCGTGTGTCTGTTAAACTAATATGAAAGTATCTTGATATCCATTTT